CAAATGAGTGCTTATTTTTTTGCAACAAATGAGAACTCTTCCAACTACATCTTACTAATGAAACTGATTTCTTCAACCCTAAGTGTATGACAATTGGCTGAAAATAGAAAATGAACAACACACGTAAATTGATAAGCCTGCTTCATTTAGATTCTATTTAAAAGTCTCCCTGATATTTTTATTAATATTCAAAACAGAGCCTGAACAAGATGATCAAAAAACCCAAATTTGTATCCGTAAAATTAAACAATATGAGTATTATACATGATTATAATATGCTAACATGATTAACTTGAACTTTTTTGATAATTTGGATGTTGTTAATGTCTTGTTTCCGAACTTTGAACCCTTCAAACCTCTCCACGTGGCAGCATTAGCCTGCTGCATTATTCCTTTCAATGTCGCTAATTAAGCATCATCATCATTCTCTCATGAAAAAGACATCATCTCAGTCAACATGATTATGTGATCACATGTCCTTTATCATTCATAAAGTATAAACTTCTAATGTTTTGAGTTAGGAGAATCTGATTTAGCTCACTTTTTGAATTATCTTTCTCCTGAAATTAGAGTATCAACCACTCCGTTACACATGCATTATGATAAACATCAGCATAATGTTGATGGAGAAAATTTATGCTGACCATGATTAGGGATACTTTAATCTTGAAACATGCTATTTGAAGTACAAAGCTTGTCGAGGATTTTATATTACTATTCCTCTTATAAATACCAAAAGTCTACTTTATCTATTTAAACATGTATCAGCAACAAAAAGCCAAAGTCAACCACCAACTAATTGTTCTCCATGAGAGCTTATATCCTTTGCAAAAGCTGAGTTGGCTGTTAACCCCAAAAACTGAAAATAAAAACCATAGTATAACAGCTTCAATTGGGATATATCTGCATTTGCTATATTCTGTGTTTTCGGATACCCTGGTGTTTTCAGGTTTTCTTTGTTGTGACACAGTCAATTGTTGTATCATATATGTTTTTAGTATCAAATCTATGTGTTGATGCTATTAACTTGATTATGTTTTCATTATGAATGCATATGATACATGGTTAAATGTATATCATGCTTAAATTTCTTCATTAATTTCGTGGGAAGTATTGTTTCTGTATTCAATAATTAGGTTCCATGCCTTAAACATTATATCGCACTTTTGTACTAATAACAAAACAATTGAACAAATTTTCACTGTAGCCTGATTTTAATTTTTTATTATCAAAATCGACTGTGTATCCTTTTATTTACTGAAATCGACCGGTTTTCTCGCCACGTCAGCGTCGTGGCGAGAAAGCTGGTCGATTAATTTTTAAACGTCTTCGTAAACAGTCGGGGTTGGCAACCCCGACTGTTTAGTCCATCGCCTGTTAAGAGGTTAACTAAATGGTCGGGGTTGGGAACCCCGACCATTTCGAAATAGGTCTCTTACGAAATGGTCGGGGTTCCCAACCCCGACCATTTCGTCCCTGGCTAACCCAGCGCTGGCTGGGCTCTGCTAAATGGTCGGGGTTGGGAACCCCGACCATTTGGAATGGTCGGGGTTCCCAACCCCGACCATTTAGCAGAGCCCAGCGATAGCTGGGCTGAACCACGGACAAAATGGTCGGGGTTGGGAACCCCGACCATTTCGTAAGAGACCTATTTCGAAATGGTCGGGGTTCCCACCCCCGACCATTTAGCAGAGCCCAGCGATAGCTGGGCTGAACGACGGACAAAATGGTCGGGTTTGGGAACCCCGACCATTTCGAAATAGGTCTCTTACGAAATGGTCGGGGTTCCCAACCCCGACCATTTTGCAGACCCCATTCCAGCCCACATTTACTTGGAAAACTCATACTTCCTGTAGTACAAAATGTAATCACAAATAACACATGCTAAAATGCAATCATACTCCTGTTATCAATTCACAATACAATCACAAACACAAATATAATACGTACAATTCATATTCGCAAACTTAACATTATATCAAATCCATCGCAACACAAACAACATATCAAGTCCAAATTGCAACTCAAACGCAAACATCCTATCAAGTGCATCGAAACTTAACAAATTTCAACAATGCCCTTTCCCCTCCCTCTTCCTCTCCCTCTCCCTCTCCCTCTTCTTCCTCTCCCCCTTCCTCGATCACCTTCGACGTGAGCTCGGATAAGTTCCTCGTCCGGTTGTGTGTGAAGTTGGGAGTGCATGTTATCCGCGTCGTCTCGAACCTCCTGTGAACATTCGGCCTGAGTCTGCTGTGAGCCGCCAGCTTCATCATGCGCATAGCTTGATCCCGCCCCCGTGTGTCCTCGTCGACGTCGCCGCCCGAACTCAATTGGTCGCTCCTCCCGTCCATCACGGCGTGCGTGACGCGTCCTCTGAAGAGCCGACCGTATCTTTTTTATCATTCGAAGGAACATGTTCCTCGGCTCCTGCTCGGTAGTCGTACGCAATGCGTCATGTGCCATAGTAGAAAGCTCCTCGAGCTCTTGTACCTATAAAATAAAAACCGAAAGAAAATTATTATCAAGTGGATGGTGAGAAAATAAAACTCAGAAAATAATTGTATATTTTTCTTATACACTTACCAACTCTCTCTCGACTGGGCCTCTTGGTATGTACTCCTTCGGGGCTTTGTTTTCCTGAAATATCCACCGACGAGTAATCCCCCAATACCACCGCGGGTACACACCTAGGTCAGGTGCATCAGCCCTCTCCATCACTACCTGTTCCTCCCTTAAAACCCACCTATGGATGTAATTTTGGCGAATTATTTGCCAATTAGCACGATGTGCACCTTTTCTTGGATCTCTCTCTATTCTCTCCACAGGCGCTGGAATATGTTGCCGTAGTCCAAATTGTCGAAGCACACGATCAGGCACGTGCATTTCGACAATCTCAAAGCATATAAGGGGGACGCGAGCACGCCATACATCCTCACCTTCTCGGCAAATATCCGGTAGTGACTCCAACACTAGCTCGTAGGGCATCCATTTGACCTATAAAGAAGATATTATGAGATATTGAATGAATATATTTAGATATCGGTAACAATTGGTCGCATAATTGAATATATTTAGACATTATAATTTTTATACCTGTTCATCCTCCATCTGATCAAGCTCATTTCTGTAAAAGTTTTCATGCCCCTTTGGAGAGGTTTGCCAAGATCTGGACACATTCCATCTATTTTATATACAACGGGTTAGTATATATTGAAATAAAGCACTAAAATTACATGCATCTTAATAATACCTGCAGCCTAACGGAATATGCCCATCGAGAGCGCGGGCCTCCCTCAAATCAGGTGTTCCCATATGCAATCGCTCCCATGACCATATCTGCAGCAAAGTGAGGCAGCCCTTCAATTCTTTATTTTGTACGAGTGCTATTTTCGTCATCTCTCTATACAAGTAGGCTAACACTGCACTCCCCCAAGATAACTCTCCACACTCTTCTAGGTCCCCAAGAAGCGGTAACCATCTCACGTGCACGGAATCCTTAGTGGAATCCGGAAACAGAATAGTACCGATCATATGTAAAATATATGCACGGGCATAGCGCTTAATGATCTCATCAGTCGCATCGATCGGTACATTACTAAAGTTATTCCTTAACCATTCGAGTTTGATCTTTCCCCCCTTCATTGTAGGAGTGCGACCGAACAATTCTTCACACTTGGTCGCATAATTGAAGTCATCGGTGCCCGTCACTGCATCACCATCTACTCTGAGGCCAAGTATAACCCCAACATCCTGTAAGGTAATCGTCGCCTCTCCTTGGCGCAGATGGAAAGTATTTGTCTCGGGCCTCCATCGTTCAACCAATGCCGTCAAAAGTGCCCAATCAAGTCTTACCCATTTAATTTGTGAACACTCAAAAAAGCCGGCTTGACGCACATAATATTGTATCTGTGGATCCGTCAACTCCCAGCTAGAATGTGCACGGGTATGATCGACAATAGTAATACTCGGGGCCTGCATGTAGTAAACAGTGCAAATGTTCAGTAACAATCAACTACATTGAAATTTATATATAATTGAAAATAATAAAATTGCACTTTACCTCCCCAGCGTCTATCTTCGCGGATCGGTGGCGCTCTTGGTCATAAAGAACATCACGTGTCAATGGACCCGCCTCCATAACTGAAATATCTGCACATATAACGATGATACATTAATTGATCTATAATTGAGTTAGAAAAAAATTGATTTTACTATAAGCATTGATTTATAAGCATTGTTTGAGTTTTTTATAAGCATTGATCTACAAATGAGTTAGAATGAAATTACAAATGTATAAAATTGTACCCATTAATTGCTATCTACTTGGATTGGTCGGGCAATGAGATCTTCTATGCCCGGCTTGTCTGCAATATCCACATCTATTTTTTTTCGGAGCTCCTTCCCGGCCTTCATCCATAGTACCTTTTAAGCGTACTGGTTGTGGGCGTCCGACTTGTCTCTTATAGCTTGGAGGCACCACATGCGGCCCGTTATAGTGTGGCCAATAACGACTATCATGTACGGGGTGGAAACACTGCTTATATGCCTCTCTATAGTTGCTTGATTGATACCACTCAGAAGCGTATGTGTAATACGAAATATTTGCACCCCCCGATTGCTTGGACGTAACCGCTATGACATGTGGACAAGGCAATTTTTGCAATTCTGGTATGTTACAGGTGCATGTGCAATGTGCACCTCCCAAATTGACGGTGTAATTGTGACCATGTTTGTCTGTAACCTCCCATTCATCTACAGCAAATCTAACAATCTTCGTGCCTCTCGCCTGCTTAACTCGAGCTTCTAAAATCGCCTCATTTTTTGGTGTCAAGAACGAGGCCCACATTGCTCCATCCTCTCGCCGCTTGACAAAATAGTAATTGAGCCTATAAAATGTCCTCGCAACCAACGCCTGTATGGGCATTGCCCGAGCCCCCTTAAGTACCCCGTTGAAGCTTTCAGAACAATTGGTTGTCATCATGCAGAACCGATTCCCTCCATCTTTACTGAGTGCCCACCGGTCGACGTAATCACTGCCCAGACTTCTCTCAATCCAATCATGTGCAGCTTGAGATGTTGCCTTGATTTGATCCCGTATCCGATCATACACATATGTTTCCGGCGTACAACCCGCTTGCCACAGAAGGTTTTGTAAATGAATCTGACTAAAGCTCTTTTTGAAGTTAGCTCTAATGTGTCGTAAGCAATAGCGATGATGGTGATGAGAGCCAAATCTCCTCCACAATGCTTTTGGAATACCTTTCATCCTATCAGATATGAAAGTAATTTTTCTAGGAGGCAACACATTAAAAATATATAATTGAATGCAAGAAAAAAACCACTCCCAATTTTCACTGTTCTCGACCTCCACAACGGCGAAGGCCAAAGGAAATAAGCCACCATCTGCATCAACTCCTGTAGCAACAAGCAGTACACCCTTGTATTTACCGTATAAGTGTGTGCCATCAATGCTAAGAATAGGCCGACAAAATTTAAACCCCTCAATCGAAGGCCCAAATACCCAAAAAACAGAGGTGAATTGATGAACTCCCGGATCGATCTCTTTGGTTATGAGTTTGTATTCAGATCCAGGATTACTTCTTTTGATCGCATCAAGATATTGAGCTAGTGTCGCGTAAGACTTGTCCCAATCACCAAATATTTTTGTCATCGCAATTCTTCTTGCATTCCATGCTTTAATATACGAGATTTTAATGAACTTGGTATCAAGCACTTTCTCAATTATATTATCGGGCGTTAGATCAAGCTTCTTCCTTAATTTTGGCATAATCAACCGCGCTATGTAAGAGGCAGATGCACCACTGTGATCTTGCTCTAATATTGGATTGACACATGTGTGAACACCGCAGTATTCACTGATCCTAAATTGAAAATTGTGTTTCTTTCCTGCAAATGCATATAACTTCCAAGGACATGAGTAATCAGCTTCATTTCCCTCGGTCAGACCTGTTCTTTGTGTGTTCATAAAACATATTGCATCATAACTTGTGCGATTGCTTTTAACTTGCTTGAACTTGAAATTCTTTTCGAAAGAGTATTCACGAATAGCATCAACCAATTGGTCTTTAGTCTCGAATAAATCACCAACTTTAAAGGGGGCGTCATCATCTCCTCTACGAGTTGAACTTTCACCGATGCACATATCTTTTACTGTGGAAGAACGAATCCACTCATCATCTTCAAACTCGTCGGGGGGTGGTTCTTCATACTCAACGTAGTCATTATTAACGTAAGCCTCATCAGGCCATTCCGGATTATCTTCGACATCTTGGGTAACAAATTGCATGCTATCAACTGGTGCACTATATTGTTCTTCACCTCCCGAGTCATTGCTTCTTTCATCCTCTTCGATTGATGCCCTACTTAACGGCCCCATATTTCCATAAGAGACTTCGTTATTCATGACATTTGACGTTCCACCGAATTGAGCCCGCTCCATTTCATTCGAAGAAGAAAGAAACCCATCGGAATTAACTCTCATATCTAACATGCGTGAGAATTCTCCTGGAGGTTTGAATATTTGGCACGGATTATGTGGTAACTTTTCAATAAACAATTCTACCGTTTGTTGCGACTTGCCCAATTTAAACATAATACTCATATGATAATCGTTCGAGATCTCCACTGCGGATGTTCTATCAATAGCTATGGGCCAATTGCATATAATTTTCAGTCGGTATTCTCGTGGGTCAATTTCCGTAACTCGGTGTAATTCCATAACCAAGTCGTAGTAACTATATGATTCCGAGATCATTAATGGCGTCGTTACCCCTCCGACGTACATTGGCATATTATTCATCCCATAATTAATTTGCCCACCATAAGAACAAACAATAAACATCATATTGTTCAACCTATTCAAAAGAAAATTATATCATTTAAATATAAAAAAATTAAATTAATATGCAAATAATCTTATATAATTTCAACCAAAAACCCTAATTCCCAAATTGTAAATCCTAAACCCTAAAATTGAACAATTGAACATTATATGCCCTAAAAGTTAATTACATCGATAATAATCATCATACAAACGAATTTCACAGATAAATCTAGCCCACGAAATTCATTTATGAATGAAAACCCTAGCAAATTATTTTTAAGAAAAAAATCCTACATTTCTACAAGTTAAAAGAGGAGAGGAGTAGAAGAAATTACCAATATACGTTTAAGATAACTTTTGATTTGAAGTTCCGCCGAAGAAACGAGCTCAAAATTGAGATCTGAAGCTGGTTTTGGGAGAACAGACGGAAGAGAGAGAAGAGAGAGGCGGAGAAATGAGATGGGATCGGGGAAAGGGGGTTGCGGTGGCTTTTATACGGTGGTGGGGACCCAGAATAAGTAGTCGGGTTTCCCAAACCCGACTACTTTCGGCCTCGCCCTTGCCCTCTGCTTAATGGTCGGGGTTGGGGCCCCGACCAATTAAAAATGAGCTTCGAAATGGTCGGGGTTCCCAACCCCGACCATTTAGCAGAGCCCAGCCAACGCTGGGTTAGCCAGGGACGAAATGGTCGGGGTTGGGAACCCCGACCATTTCGAAGCTCATTTTTAATTGGTCGGGGCCCAACCCTGAAAGTAGTCGGGTTTGGGAAACCCGACTACTTATTCTGGGTCCCCACCACCGTATAAAAGCCACCGCAACCCCCTTTCCCCGATCCCATCTCATTTCTCCGCCTCTCTCTTCTCTCTCTTCCGTCTGTTCTCCCAAAACCAGCTTCAGATCTCAATTTTGAGCTCGTTTCTTCGGCGGAACTTCAAATCAAAAGTTATCTTAAACGTATATTGGTAATTTCTTCTACTCCTCTCCTCTTTTAACTTGTAGAAATGTAGGATTTTTTTCTTAAAAATAATTTGCTAGGGTTTTCATTCATAAATGAATTTCGTGGGCTAGATTTATCTGTGAAATTCGTTTGTATGATGATTATTATCGATGTAATTAACTTTTAGGGCATATAATGTTCAATTGTTCAATTTTAGGGTTTAGGATTTACAATTTGGGAATTAGGGTTTTTGGTTGAAATTATGTGAGATTATTTGCATATTAATTTAATTTTTTATATTTAAATGATATAATTTTCTTTTGAATAGGTTGAACAATATGATGTTTATTGTTTGTTCTTATGGTGGGCAAATTAATTATGGGATGAATAATATGCCAATGTACGTCGGAGGGGTAACGACGCCATTAATGATCTCGGAATCATATAGTTACTACGACTTGGTTATGGAATTACACCGAGTTACGGAAATTGACCCACGAGAATACCGACTGAAAATTATATGCAATTGGCCCATAGCTATTGATAGAACATCCGCAGTGGAGATCTCGAACGATTATCATATGAGTATTATGTTTAAATTGGGCAAGTCGCAACAAACGGTAGAATTGTTTATTGAAAAGTTACCACATAATCCGTGCCAAATATTCAAACCTCCAGGAGAATTCTCACGCATGTTAGATATGAGAGTTAATTCCGATGGGTTTCTTTCTTCTTCGAATGAAATGGAGCGGGCTCAATTCGGTGGAACGTCAAATGTCATGAATAACGAAGTCTCTTATGGAAATATGGGGCCGTTAAGTAGGGCATCAATCGAAGAGGATGAAAGAAGCAATGACTCGGGAGGTGAAGAACAATATAGTGCACCAGTTGATAGTATGCAATTTGTTACCCAAGATGTCGAAGATAATCCGGAATGGCCTGATGAGGCTTACGTTAATAATGACTACGTTGAGTATGAAGAACCACCCCCCGACGAGTTTGAAGATGATGAGTGGATTCGTTCTTCCACAGTAAAAGATATGTGCATCGGTGAAAGTTCAACTCGTAGAGGAGATGATGACGCCCCCTTTAAAGTTGGTGATTTATTCGAGACTAAAGACCAATTGGTTGATGCTATTCGTGAATACTCTTTCGAAAAGAATTTCAAGTTCAAGCAAGTTAAAAGCAATCGCACAAGTTATGATGCAATATGTTTTATGAACACACAAAGAACAGGTCTGACCGAGGGAAATGAAGCTGATTACTCATGTCCTTGGAAGTTATATGCATTTGCAGGAAAGAAACACAATTTTCAATTTAGGATCAGTGAATACTGCGGTGTTCACACATGTGTCAATCCAATATTAGAGCAA